GAGACAAGTACCTGCTATAGCGTTGGTTTCCATATAGTGCCAAAGAATACGTTAGAGGGGGGTTTTATTAAAATTACTGCCTAAATTGATTGACTGTTACATTGTTTTTTTCTGCCTATTTCCTTTCTTTTTAGAAAGATGTTTTCGCGTCCAAAGTCATACATGCAACTTATAGTCCAAGATCCCACCGTTTTCGAGAATATCAATAAACATGCTGGTACCATTTCCCTAATTTTAGTGAAAAAATATTCAAATTTTGAGTTTAGTGTTCTTGCATAATATAATGTGTTTTGATTACATTTTAGCGAGAAAGGTATATAGTTTCATAATTATATTCACTCAGATTGAATGTACGTAATCATTCGCTATGCGTGGTGTGATTGATAGTATTTTTCCAGAAATTCTCGCCCAGTAATATTTCCTTTGAAACGAAAACGATTTATGGTGCTATGGGACTCAGCTTATCTTGCCTATAGGTGACGCCCTAGGTGGATGGCCTTTTTATTTCTGTTCTCGTTTTGCTGGATGTGTTTTGATCTCTTGGTTGGTTCAGATAATTATAGGGTGAGCTGAGGGATTGACCTTCTCTGATTGCAGTTTCTACCTGAGCAGCCTGGGCCTCAGAGGCTAATTAAATCAGACTGGACTGGCTTTCTTTTATGGGTCTTCTTCCCTTTGGCCTGTGTGAGCTGAACTACGTGTTATTTGTGTTTTGTGTTGCTACTGGTTTGGTTACATTCATTTTACCATATACAGCCGTCATTTGGATTTTCATCCTTTCACTCGACGCAGACCATTGTCAAGACATACTGATTTACTGAGTAGACAGTTATAAATTTTGCGTTTATTGTATTTGGGGTATTTTAATTAATATAATTTGGTGTATTAACTCCTCAACTGTTGTTGTGTCCCCTCCCTTCTATTGTCCCCACACTCTTTTTGAGCCCAGGTGTTGACACCTTACATTATGCCTGCTGGCCCCAATTCCCACATTGTGTGAAATTTTAAATAACGTCTTGTGCCTGTTAGGCCCTGCCAAGCCTGTTTATTCGGGCAGAATGTGTAAATCAATATTAAAACTTGTGTTCATAGACTATAACCATATTGATACATCACTGCGAAAGGTCTTCCAACCTGGGAAAGTAACATATTAAATCAATGTTGAATAAGGTCTATATTTTTCCGCTTTGAGTATTATATTGACCTTTTTGAACCTGTAACCTCAGGGCATATTGAAGGCTTATAATATTATGGAACAAAAAGGTTGACAGACATATACCAATATGTTTATAGAACAGGTGTTGACATGGCCTGTATAATGTTGATCATACAGTCACCGAAGGGTGGTGGGGTGGGGGAACACTGATGAGGGAATTGGCTGTAAAAATAAAAAGATCCTATTTTGAACAGACCAATATTAACAGTCTGAATGCCAAAAATATTGCTCTACTCCCTTTTCAAACCCCTGAATGCACCTTAATTTTACTTATTTTAACAACTTCCAATTTTAGGGAAACCTGGTTAATTATTTTTAAAAAACTACAACTCCTTATACCTCTTCAGTACTGATGGTACGTTTTTATATGAGACTGGGGTTGGTGTATCAGTTTAACACCAAATAGGTTGAGAACCACAGCTTTAGACTACAGCACATCCACACTAAGCTAATTTCAGAAATTTACAATTTGTGTTCACACTGATGTTTTCAAGCAGTTTTCACACAGATCTCCATCTACACCCCTAAACCACAATAAAACAGTTAAATCACTAATGAACCCTTTGGTGGTTAAGAATCCCTGTTCTGCTGTTCAATTAAACCTCAGCACAGTTCTTCGTAAACCCCCTGTACGAACACATAAAGGTTTGAAAACATATTGATCACAACTCTGGGACCATTGACTTGTCCATCCAATTCACCCGCCTCCTCCAGGCTGGATGTTAAACATCCATCGCAGTTGATCTGGTGTTTGTCAGACACTGAGGACGTTTCAGTGGAGGTTAAACTCCAGCAGTCGCTCCTTTTATGACTCTGCTGCAGCTCACCGCAGGGGTATGTCTTCCACCCACACAAACCTTTGAACTGCAAACTGAGGTTTTCGGCGGCACTTTTCACCTCCACCTCTGGGCGCTGCAGAGAGGACTGTGAGAAAGTGATTGTGTGGAGAGAGATATACAAAGTGAGAGGCTGACAGAATCTTATGTGAGTCCTCTATTCCGTTTTATGTAAAGGATGTTTCGCAGATAAACATTTGAAGCAAACATGCAATTTTCTGTTTGATTGTGCAGCAAAGGGAGTGTTATTTCAAAATATGGATGTAAAAAATGTTTGCTGCTCTCTTTCACAATAGTGTAAAGGTATTTATTTATCTTTCCAGTTCTCTGATTTATGATCTAATTGAGGGTAAATATCGCACATTTCACAGCACTAAAAGCAGTCAAATCCAGAGCTTATCTCTTTCACCCGGTTTTACACTTGGTATTGAAATGTTTTCTGTATATGTATATATATCTGTAAAATTTAGAATTGATTAGTCTATTCTTTGCCAAAAGATGTGTTATTCAACAGAACCGTGTGAAAAATGAAAGCAATACGGGTGGCAATGAATGATATACAGTAAGAAATAATGGTGTGTGCAACTCTGTGGGGCTGCTGTTAACATGGCATGTAATTTATCTAGTCACAGAGAAGCTTCCATGGTTGTACCACACCAAGACAAACTGACAAATTTATAAGGGAAGGCAAATGATTAAGAATTTGTCGCAGGCAGCGTTTCACAAAGTTTATAAAGTTTCCCTAAACTCAACAACTCACAACTCTGGGATTTTTTAAGGTCAAATGACTCTGGAGGACAGAGATCAAATCTCAGTGAGGATGAGAATACATTAAAAGTACAAGGTTTAAATGCAAAGGCAAGATTTGATCATTTATTATTCAGATAACGTGTCTGGACACTGATCGCATTTTAACAGGTGTAAATGGGGTGTCCCAAATGTCTTTTCTACAGTTCTGGGGGATATTTGAGTTTGGGGGGGAATCTTCATTACCAAGAATGAGTGTGCACTGTGAATGTACAATGAATGATGAACTCATTAACTCTTTAGTTTAATGACTAGATGTCTCCTTGTGGTTTTACATTAAAAAACATGTGACATGAGACTTTAGAACTACAGTATTAAGAAAATTTGACGCTTTGCTCTTGAGTTCTTCTATACATTTCAATCATATTTTACAAACCATCTTGTTATGAAATAAAAGAACAAGCCATCCATTGGCCCCAAAAGCATTCAGTGTGTTTAAGAGATTTTCTGTTTTGAGGTCTACTGCACACAACTTTGATTTTCCCGTGAGCTTGTTTGATTTTCTTTACTTTACTAGTGGTTTATCTTCAGTTCTTCCAGAGGCTCTGATATCCTCTAGTACATCTTGTCATTTCTCACAGCTGATTTCTTCCTCCCTATTGATTATCTGCGCTTGGCAACAACGCCTTCAAACTAAATGACAAAACAGGTCGATTGTCATTGCCTTCCTGAACCATCTGGCAGACATTGGGCAAATATTGACAGCACACTCCAAAGCCATTACATGTTACATTTTATTCATGTGTTGAATGTTTTCTGATCTGCTGACACTATATGGTGAGGGTTTGGTTAAGTGTAGGCACAAAAAGTTGCCAAAAAACATTCACAATTTT